CTCGTCTTGTTGAATACCTCCACTATTGTATGTCGCTTTGGACAAAAGTGTTCGCTAATTGTATGCTTCTGCCCAGTTTCGAACAGGAGACATTTAGCGTGTAATGCAAACATGATAAAAAAAACTACACTACGGAAACCAATAGGCCAGTGCTGCTTCAAGTATTTATAGACTTTTTTTATAGAGCTGTCTTGTACGGTCTGCACCGTGGAGGGCCAGCAAACGCACTGGCCACCTGCTCATGCACAACATAAAGCTAAATGAAATCCGATTCTACGCAAGTTTGCGACACCGCGAGGGGAGGTAAACACTGAGTTAAATTCAAACTTCTAACCTCACACCGCTAGGCAGAAAGAATCTTTTCAGTGAACGTCAGTACCCAACAGAAGCCTGATTTGACAATTGTCATAAAAGCCAGAGGTTGTTTCCGCCCAGTTTCGAACTGGTGACCTTTCACGTGTGACGCGAACGTGATAACCACTACACTACGGTAACCTACAGGCACAACAAGCAGATAAGCCTTTTTGATTGGGTGCCTGTCGACGATCATTGCTAGTGCGGCAGTGGATGCTATTATTTTTTCGCCAAATGAAGACCACTGTTTCTGCTCGGTTTCGAACCGATGACCTTTCGCGTGTTAGGCGAACGTGATGACCACTACACTACAGAAACCCCACAAGTGCTTTCACCTACTCTACAGAAACCCCACAAGTGCTTTCACCAGCGAAGTTAGGCCTGCAAGGATAAAACAAGGCGTACGCGTTGGTCAATCGAGCGGACAAAGCCAACTCAGCGTGACAAGCTCCCTGCAGGTATTAGGGCCAATTTACAATCCGGGCCCAACACAGCTGTACAGGTCCTTGCGAAATGTCCCCTTTCGTCACATTTGAAGCACCTGAATTCTGGGCATTCCTTCATCACATTTTCTGAGCTCATGCATAGTCGATAGGTTTTAACCTGATTGGTGTGCATGACTCTAAAGTGCTGTGGCCCTTCCGCCGTCTCGATTTTGGTACTGTATGGTAAGGAGACCATCTCTTTCGTAAATCTGTTTTTTACAAACCTTGTTCCATCTTCTTTGTATGTGCCAGGATACAATCTTCTTCTAATTTTAGATATGGGGAATTCTCCCCAACTCTCTAGCTTGCTTAAAATTTCTTCATCTGCTAGATAAACAGGCAGATGCTTGAACGAAACAACATAGTCTCTGTTTTGTAACCTCCGTACTTCAGATTTCACTCCTTTAATTGTCAATCCATTGTCTATTAAAATTTCGGTGTCATCTTCAGTCTCCATTGTTACTTCATACTCCCTTTGTTTGTTTGGGTCTCACCGCCAGAATTCTTCTTTCTCCAATCAGCTCCGTGACTGCTTTGGTTATATCAAATCTTCTTGCATCTTTTACATTTTCTACTTCTACAGTTACTGTTGCTTCCTTTGTGCATACTCTTCTTTGTACCTCTTGCTTATCCTTACCTTTCTCACCTCTTCGTTGGCCGGGCTCTTCATTTTATTTATCTCTTTGTCTGTTGTCAAGTCCATTTTCTTTACCTCTCCGTCTATTATCCAGCCCATTTTCTTTATCCTTTCGTGCAAGTCCCTCCATTTCCATGTCGTTGCCGGGGAATCTGTCCATGATTAAAAATAAAACACACTACATAACCACCCTTCAGTCAGCAAAATGCTGTTGTTAGGTGTTTTTTAAAGACAAAAAGAAAACAAACAAACAAAAACACTCAAGGTCAATAAACAAAAAGGTAGACAAACAAAATGGGGAGAGCCTTTCTCTCCTTACTGCTGCCAACTCACTTCCTGTTTGCTCTATAGCCCCCTTTAATTTATTTTTTTAAATAAAAAATAATCACATTACATTAACATTTAAATATTTCAAGAAATTTCCCAAAACAATTACATTAAAATAAACATTCTTCATAACATAACGTCCTCTTTGGGTATTTTCCACTTTAAACCATTTAAAACATTATACACTTCATCATTAAACACATCATAAAAGCTTGGTAACATATCTTCTCCTTTAAAATACCAGTACAGTCTTTCTATGTATCTTTCCATTTTTCGTTTTAGTACATTCCACACATTTAAAACAACTTTTTCCAGCTTTGCTACATTTCTTCTTTCCCACACACATTTTTTAATCATTATTATGAGAAGATTTACAAACTTTTTGTTTTTGTTTTCTATATTCCATCCGAACATCACAAGAGTATTCCATTCCAATTGTTCTTCATCCCAATCTTTCAATAAATCTTTTAGCATTTTTTGGCATTTTATGTAAAAACATTCTAATTCTTTACAGTATAAAAACAGGTGTAAAATTCCTTCATCTTCTTGAAAACATACCTTACATGTAGCATTTTGTTCTCTCTGTATCTTTGTTAAAATGCACTCAGTAAAAATTGCCTTGTGTCTTATAAAATATTCAAAACATTCCAATCTTGTTTCTATTATTTTCCCTCTCATGTTTTTCCATATATTTTCCTTTTTCACACTATTCAATCTTTGTACCCAAAAGTTATTTGCTATTGGTTCTTGAAATACACTATCTCTAAAATAAACATAAAAGTCTTTCAGTATACAATCTTTAAAATCACAAAGCTTTCCTTTTAAATAGACATGTATGATTTCTTCATTCCCACCTTCTTCCATAATTTCTATTCTTGTAATCCATTCTTTTGGTATGGCACCTTTGACCGTTTCAAGTTTATTTTCTATTTCCTTTACACTGTATTCCTCTTTAGCTTCTTCCATTAGGTCTACTATATATTGCTTAGTTAAAAATCCCTTTTTGAATTCATAAAGAACATCCCTTATTCTTAAAATCCCCACATCCATCCATTTTTTTAAAAAATAGTTTCTTCCCTTCTTTTAAAATACTTTTATTTAAAAACAAAGGTTGATTTAACAAGTTTTCTCTTCCCTTTACTTGGTAAAATACTCCGTCTAAAAATTTCCCCCATGCACTTAAAATTTCTTGATAAAACCCTGGTAACTTTTCCATCATCCAGTTTTTTGTTTTTAACCAAAGAATGTCTTCTCCTAAGTTAAAATTGCCAACTTTGTTTAAAAAATATTTCATAACCTTTTTCCATTCTGTTGAGTTCTCCTCTTGTAAAAGCTTTTTAACCATTTTGACTGTAAGACAATTCTTCCTTTGTTTAATATCCATCAATCCTATCCCTCCTTCTTCTGTTGCTCCTATTATTGTATTGTACGCAATTCTTGGGGGTTTCCCCTCCCATAAAAAATCTTGAACACACTTTTTTAATCTGCCTTCTATCCAACATGGCATTTCTGTTATATATAATTTATACCATAGCTTTGATGTCATTAAAACATTTAATATTAAGGCTTTCCCCTTTAAGCAAAGTTCTCTTATCCTCCAAAAATTTAATCTTGATTCTATTCCTCTTATTAGATCATACCACATCTTTTCTGTTGCTTTTCTTTCATTTTTACCAATTAAAATTCCTAAAATTTTCAGTTCTTCTACTTCTCTAAATTGGAAAAAAATCTGTTAAAATATCTGCTTTACCAAACCTCATATATTGTGTTTTATTTTCATTTATTTTGCTTCCTGTTCCCTTACAAAACTCCTGTACTTTTTTCATGGCTTCTTTTACACTCTTTTTCTCCTTCACTATTATTGTTGTATCATCAGCATACTGGTATATTTTTCCTTCATCCTCCTCTTCTTCTATTTTTATTCCTTTAATTTTAGTTTCTTGTTTTATAGCTAACCCTAAAGGTTCTGCGACTAGGGAATATAATAGTGCTGAAAGAGGACATCCTTGTCTAATTGATCTTGTAATTTTAAAGCAATCTGTTAAAAAACCATTACATTTTACTTTTGTTAAAGCCCCTTTATATAAAATTTTAATCCAATTAATAAAATTCTCTCCAAATCCAAATGTTTTGAGTACATCAAATAAGTAAGTATGTTCGACTCTGTCAAAAGCCTTTTCAAAATCTAAACTAATTAAAAAACCATTCATCTTCTTTTCTTGTAAATAATCTATTGTGCTTTTAATACTCATTGTTACATCTGCTATATCTCTCCCTTTTATTGCATTTGCTTGGTTTGATTTAATTAATTTAGGCATTACTTCCTTTATCCTATTCGCTAAAACTTTTGCTAAAATCTTTAAATCTGTATTTAACATTGTTATTGGTCTATAATTTTGTAATTCAGTTTTTGCTCCTTTTCTTTTATATATTAACTTCATTAATCCCATCCCCATTCTTTCATTCATCTCTTTACATTTAAAAATTTCTTTAAAAACTTCTTTAAGTATTCCTTTTAAAATATCTTTAAAAACAATATAAAATTAATTTCCTATTCCATCTATACCTGGACTTTTCTTTTTATTTAGTTGATTTATTGCAATTTCAATCTCTTCTTCTTCTATTTCTCTGTCACATTCTTTGTTGTCATCTTTTTCTAGTTTTACTTTTATATAATTTAGAATCTTCCTTTCTTTTTCTTCATCAATACCTTTTGCTTTAAATAGATCTTCATAAAAATGCTTGATTTCTTCTACACTGTAAAAAGTGCTACACCCACAAAGTAGATTTTACATACTTAAATTAAGTATAATCTAGTTTATTTTATTAGTTTAATACAAAAAAGTATGACTATGCTTTCTCCTTACCTAAAATATATATTTTTTTATGTAACAGTATATTTTGATCAAATTGAATGCAATTTATTTGAGTAGTTATTTGCAAACTGATGTTGTGTACAATAAATGTGTTAAAATTGAGTTGACTCAGACAATTTATTAGAGCAGCTTTCGATGTGGCAGGCTTGTTCATCAAACGTAATTTTAATAATTCGGCATTATCCATTTTTCACTGGCGGGCATTTTGTAGGCTGATGCAGCGTCTTTCTTTGTCGCCACGAGCTGTTTGCTGCAGGATCTCATTAACACGGTAAGTTTTAAAAACAAATTCTGAATGATTGGTGATGTAAAGCCACATGAAAACCGGTGATTCTGATAGGCAGGCGAGGTTCGTTCTGCAAATTGTACAGAAACATTAGTTAGCCCGCACCGCATGTCGAGCTAAAATGTCTGAAGTGTTGGTCACATAAGCCGCAGTCTGTTCGCGCCAATCTCATTAGCACGGTAAGTTTTATATTAAACCGAATGATTGGTGATGTAAAGTCACGCACAACCACGGACTTCGCTAGGCAGGCGAGGGTAATTGTGCAAACTGTACAGTAACATCAACTAACGTTAATGTTAACCCGTTCACATGGCAAGCTCAGATGGCTAAACAGTTGCGTGTTCATAAGAAACGATCGGATCTCATGGTAGGCTATGCGTCCGTACAAGATATCTACGGTAACGTTAAGGTAAAAGGTATAAACAAAAAATGCTAATGTTACTTAAGTGCTACCGTATGCTACTTTATGTTATTACAAACTAACAATTAAAAAGGGATCGTATTAGTAGGATCGAATGCGAAAGTTTAATTAACAAAGTGTTGTTGTCATGACTACAGAACAGATCACGGGCTAAGTTATGCCGTGGATTGGTTCGTTAGCTAGCTCACCAGACCTGTTAGCGTTTGCTAACATCATCGCAACTCTTGCTACATTGAGGATGGATAATTTAGTAAATACAGATATGTATGTTGTATGAGTTCAGGGTGCCTTTATATCATCAGAGATCCTGTTAGTATACTGTAGCATTACTTCAGTAAATTTATCAGATTTCTCGATTTCATTTAAATTCTGCACAGTAAATGAATTAGAGATTTTTGGTTGAAATCCTTTAAAACTATTTCTACAGTATTACTGCAATAACCCCATTATTTGCCAGTAATGTTTACAGAAACATTTTGACTTTATTCTAACATACTCTTTCTTGGTATTTAGATACTCAAGTGCATTACCTGGGGTCTGCGATCTTCACAAACAGGTGAGACAAAATTTAGAATAGATACAATTACAGCTATAACTATTTTCAGGTAAGTAAAACATATTGTGAAATATCACAATCAAGAGTCTGGGCTCTATAGACTTACATTTGATGTAAATCATTTTTAATATGTTTTTATGTGTACCAATTACCTGAAGGCATATCATCTGCTGTCTGTGTCCTGCCCACAACAAAGTTAAAAAAAAAGAACCAAATAGGGCAGTTTCTAATTATCAATCTTTTTCTAAAGGCTGACTGATAATTCTTGCTCACTGAACTGTCATTTGCCACTAAGATTTGCTCAATGTTTCTGTAATAAAAAGGATTTTACATGTGGTTACTAAAATCCTTCATGTAGTTAATTATACTCCACAATTAATAACTACCAAGCTTTTAAAGTGCATCATAAAAATGTGGTTTAAATTTTAAGGAAAAAATAAATTAATTAAATGTGGCTTCAGCAGCAAAGGACTACACTAATGCCTGCATGCAGGGAATTCATACAGAGACCCGAAATGGAGGTGATAGTGGGGGGAAAAAATGGGTGGAAGAAAAAAAAACTGGGTGATAGGAAAATATATATTTTTGAGTTTTTGCGTTCCCTTGAAAAGATGTTTTGCGAGGAAATGCAAAGTTGTTTTGTGATCCCTCGCAAAACTGTTGTTTGACAAACCCTTCCCGTTTACTTCATACATTTCAACCCTCCCATTTTTGCGGTGATTCTCCTGTATATTACTATTCTATCCCACTATCATCCTATCATATCAAGTAGTTTCCTGTATTTCCCCCACATTTTTAATATTGAAAGCACGTTTAAATGAATATAAAAATGTCTGCATTCACTTTCTTTCCATTAATACTGTGTGTCAATCATTGCCCTTCCTGTGTAATCTCTGAATCAGTGAATGCATGTATAAGCACTGACAGATCAGCTTTTATACATGCCATTTAAAGAGGAGTTAAAGTGCAGGACACTTTGGGATTTGGGTGTGTGTAAATAGACAAATACACTTAATAATATGTAAATGTATTCCTCCTGTATGTTTTATTTTAAACACAACTTATTCTCCTAAATAAGTACAAACAGTTACTAAAGTAATCGAATGCTTTCATTCTGAATCTGTGCATTCTTACAGTGACACATGTTAACAAAGAAAACAAAATCAGAGATTTTGGAAGGACAACGAACAACGCACCACTTTAATGGAAAGAAAGTGAAGGCAGATTTTTTTATATTAATTTAAACATGCTTTCAAGATTAAAATATGGGAGAAATATGAGAAATACGTAGTGATAGAATGATATTGGAATAGAAATACAAAAGTACAAAATACTAGTGCTAAAATACAGAAGAATCCAGCTCGGCAAAAACGGGAGGATTGACATGTATGAAGTAAATAGGAAGTGTTTGTGAAACAACATTTTTAGGAGAGATCGCAAAACATCTTTTCGAGGGAACAGAAAAACTTTTCTATAATTGAAAAAGATTCTATAATTGACAGGCAACCGTAATTTAATACATATTACACTGAAAAAGAAAAAAAATCACAGGTTTCATTAGAATTTGATGTTGTTAAAAGCAAGTGTAATAATGTATACACAACAAAGTATGTAGCTTTTTTAACATAAGTTTGCATGTTGCTTTACTATGTTTGGATTATTAATATTGGCATAACCTTGAGGGATACTTAACACTTGTAAACAAAGGGGAGTGTCCTGAAAATACTGAAAATAATTTTCTTTCTTATTTATAATCTGTAGGCAAGGATAAAATGAGTTGGCCATGCAAAAGGTGCAGTGATCACTTACCTACCAGAAGTGACATTTTGAAACATTATAGACTGCATCATGGAACCTTTGGTCATAGTCATTCATTACCATGCATTTACTTGGAATGTCCATGTTTTTTCAAAACTTGGAGTGGTTTGCATTCGCATTTGTCTCGATGCCATCTGGAAAGTCATACACAAAGACCTGAGATTGTCCTGTCCTTTACATGCCTGGTGTGTAGGACACAAGGGTTTCCAACAGAAAGAGAATATTTTGCACATGTTGTTCATCACCTTAAAAGTAATGTGACAGTTGAATGTGTGTTTCAAGGGTGTGATTTCCAAACCAATATTTATGGAACGTTTAAAGCACACAAACACAGGAAGCACACTCCTCATACTCAAAGCGATTTTAAAGAAACTGTTCTTTTTGAAAAGCCAAACCAGACACCAACTTTTGAATTAGATAACACTGGAGCCACCCAGGATGAAAATATAGATGAATGTAGTGGAGAAGGAACCAGCTCATGTGCACATTTTGTGCAAAAGGATGACAGGTACTTAATTGTGGACCATATAGCTTCTTTCCTGCTTAAATTGGAAAGTGTGCATAATGTCTCAAACAGGTGTATTGATGAGTTGGTAGATGAACTGCAGTTTGTGTCATCAGCATCCATGCCAATTATCAGAGAAATTGTTGAATCACACTTGAAGAAAAACAACTGTGTCATTGACAGCACAGTTGTAACCTCTTTATTTGAGGAATTAAATGAATCCAACCCCATAAGCATGGCTTTTGATAAGGATGGGCCACTGTCATCAGCTTTCAAAAGGAGACGGCACTTTCTAAAAACATTTAACGTTGTAGAGCCAGTTGAATATGTTCTTGATCCAATTAAAAAGAAGAGTTTTCAGTATGTTCCAATCCTTGAATCATTGAAACAAATTTTAAACAACAATGATATCAGAGAACAGTTTCTGAGAGATTATGGAAACACAAGTATTCCTGCACAGTACAGATCATTCCGTGATGGTGCCTTTTATAGAGAGAGTGATTTTTATTCTGAAGAGCAGAGAATCTGCATATTCCTTTATGTAGATGATTTTGAGGTATGCAATCCCTTAGGAACATCTCGAAGGAAACACAAGATAACAGCCGTGTACTGGATCTTGGGAAATAACCCATCGTGTTATCGCTCCACACTAACTTCAGTGTATCTAGCACTTTTGTGCAAAGCTAATGATATTAAGACATTTGGATATGCAGAGGTACTCAAGCCACTCCTTGATGACATAGCTGTACTGGAACAAGATGGAATTTTGATTCCAGTCATAGGGAAAACTGTCAAAGGGTCCATCTACTGTGTAGTTGCTGACAATCTTGGTGCACATTCACTTGCTGGCCTTGTAGAAAGTTTTTCAGGAACATACATTTGCAGGTTCTGTCTAGGAGAGCATGCTGACTTTCAAGAAAAGGAAGTGAGATCAGGTGCTTTTAACATTCGAACAAAGGAGGATTATTCTCTTCATGTCAAAACACTACAAGAGAACCCTGCATTACCACACACTTTTGGTGTGAAAAGGCCCTGCCCACTGTCAGAGAAGCTAAGCCATTTTCACATGGTTGAGGGGTATCCTCCTGATATTTTGCATGACCTTTTTGAGGGGATTGTTCCCATGGAATTAGCACTGTGCTTTAGTGATTTCATAGCCAAAGGATACATCACTCTTGATGAGCTTAACAACACAATCAAATCATTTCCCTACAAGTGGGGAGATAAGACAGACAGTCCACAGCCCATTCCCATTGCATTCTCCACTCGAAAAAGTATCGGAGGTAATGCCCACGAAAACTGGACCCTCATCAGGCTGCTCCCACTAATGATAGGTCACAGGATACCTTTGAATGATCCTGCATGGGATGTAATTATGTGTCTGAAAGAGATAGTTGAACTTGTGGTAGCTCCAACTCAAAGTGAAGCAAGTATATCATATCTTGATACAAAGATTTCTGAGCATCGACTCAGATTACTTGCTGCATTTCCTCAGGTTAAGTTGATCCCTAAACACCACTTTCTGGAACATTATCCAATGCTCATTAAAGTGTTTGGACCGGTCATTGGATTTTGGACTATGCGATTTGAGGGAAAACATCGTTACTTCAAACAAATTGTGAGGCATACAGGGAATTTCAGGAATGTTCTGTTTTCCCTCGCAAACAAGCATCAGTTGATGATTGCATACCACCTGCATGCAACTACAACCGTTCCCACTTTCAGTACTGCCAGAGTATCCCAGGTGCCTATAGCTGTTCTGCATACAAATGTACACAATGCAATAAGAAGAGTGTCGCCGGGTCAGACTAATGTACATCTTTCTAACACGGTTACAATTTATGGAACTACACAGCAAATTCATTGGTGTTAAATTTCAAGTGTTGAGGTAATTCAGAGTAAAGTGTTAAAATTCTAGAGTTAGATAAAGGTAAAATAACCCTCTCGGCGTTAGAAGCTGATTTGCCTCCTTGTCACACAGAGTAACATGTATCTACGTTTGTAGAAAACCCTTGTGTTTGAGAAACTAATCAGAGTGTCTGAAATCTCACCACACCCTCATTCACCTGGCCCTTAAATTAGTCAATTAGTTTAGTCCACTAGACAGAGTGAATAACCACAAATAAGTGATTTCAGACACCTGCTGTTGAACACCTGCTGTTAACAAGCACAATCACTGAAGGAATAAGAAATTGAAGGAAGAAATAAAACTACAGACACAGCCTCACACCAAACCAACTGAATTAAAACAGAGGATTAAACAACTCCATTAAATAACAGCATAAGCAGCTTCACTGATTACAGTTTGACTTCATTTCTGTAAGAATATTTTTTTTATTAAAAATATTTCATTTGACCTCACCATCATGGAGATCAGAGGCTGCTTATTTGAGCTCTTGAAGCTTTACTCCTATAGCCTAACGTTTCTCTGACTGTTATAGCTGTGTTTCTAAAATTCATTAGCTATAGCTAGAAAGATCAAGAGAAACTTTACTGTTTATGATTAATTGTTATAGATATAATTTTAGGTGTTTAATAAGTTGATTCATAAAAATATGCAAATATAGTTTATATATAAAACTGAAGGGACAATAATACTGGCAGTCTGCTGCTTTTCAGAGAAGATTCAACAATTAGGATGCAATTAATAATTAGAGTGTCATGCACTAAACATTCAAGCTCCAGCTTACTCATATAACACACAGACATCAAGAATCAACATATGAACCTCAACCGTGGTTGCTAAAAAAAAAAAAAAAAAAAAAAGCTGCATAGCTCATGCTGCAATGCATGCTGGGTGCCAGCATAGTACAAAGCTCCCAGCATGCATTGCAGCATTAATTAATTATGCAGCTTTATGTTCTTACAATCTCTTTCTTTTCCTTTATTTTGTGTTGTTTTTGGGAGGTGATATTTCAGTAGTGTTTTTTTACTTGATTTTTATTTTTTTGTTTGTCACCATTATTGAGATTCAAAGACTAATTGTTGATGTCAGTGTGTTTTTAAGTTCTGCCATAGATCAAACATTCTCATTGTAAATATTGGGTTTATTTTATTTTATATTATTGGAGCTTCAGTGGTTTCATTTATGTATATTATTTATCTCTCACACATAACTAATATGATATTGAATTAGAAAACAAGCAGGAAGGGATGGCTATGTTATCATAAAAAATCTCTAAAGACTGACACATTAATTTTCTTTCGGCTTTCCATGCTATATGTATAAATAGTGTAATTAACACTAACTATAGCAGCCAAAATAAAAGACATTTATAGCAAGAAGTTGAAGAGCTTGACTAAAGCAGACTCTGTCCTCCATCATGGTGACTTTAAATGAACAACAGAAATTTCATTAAGAGCTTTTGTTCACATGACAGAAATAAAGTCAAAGGTCAGTAATAGGTGAAGCTCCATGATGAGTTGTTTAATGTGATGAGAATTTTTTTAAAGATGTTGAAAAATAACATTTTTTATTGTGTAATTTGTTTTATTTTTATTGATTATTATTTTATTTAGAGTTTTTTTTTTCTGAGTTTATTTCATCTTTGGCTTGTGTTTTTCTGTCCTTCAGTGATTCTGCTTGTTAACAGTTGTTCATCAATAATTCTCAATCCTCCTTTAATTAGACACTTAATTGTCTCAATAACTTCATCACTGTCTGAGTGTTCAGCCCTCTGTAGTGAGGATACTAGTGAGGATTTTGCTGTGGAATTTAAGGCTTACGTGTGTTCGAATGAAAAATACAGACTATGGGATTTGTTTTTAACAGAAATATTCTGGAAACTGAATTTACGAATGTAAAATGTTGAAAACAGCAGATTACTGGCAACCACTGCTGCCAGTATTTTGACATACATTTAACAGATATTTTACACAATAAGAGTTTGCTAATTAACACTCAGGGTGTTAAAAATTTTAACACTTTCAAAAATGTTATTTTAACACTTATAGTGGTTCCCATATAAACACTGAGGGAGTGTTAATTTTAACTCTAAGGTAGTTAAATCTACCAAATCTAAAATTTGCAGTGTGAGATCGATAAAAAATACAGACTGTGGAATGTGCTTTTAACAGAAATATTCTGTAAACTGAATTTATGAATGTTAAAAACAGCAGATTACTGGCGAACACAGCTGCTGGTATTTTTCCGTAAAATCTAAAAATGAAAAAAAAGAAAGAAAAACAGCAAAACGGTTTTTGTGTCACCATTGTGGAGGATAATAGCGTCTCTGTTCAATTCCAAGATGAACTGAGAATATTTGATGTTATGCTGCATCTTCTTTTGTTTAAAGGTAACTGTGTAGTTACTAATGCAGTCAAAATCTGTTTGCTAATTGCAATCACACATGAAAACATTATTGCATCTAAAGACTTTACATTTTTTTGCACTAAGCTATGATTTTGTAAAATGAACAATGTATTAGTTCATGAAATATGGTTATTTTTTGTAAATTTATGCAGTTCTATAAAACTTTCATGTTTTTCACAAAAAGGTTCTGGCAACCACAGCTGCTGGTATTTAATCGGAAATTTAACAGATATTGTACACAGTAAGAGTTTGCTAATTAACACTCTCTTGGTATTGACAATGTTAACACTTTCAAAAGTGTTATTTTTAACACTTATAGTGGTTCCCATATAAACTCTGAGGGAGTGTTAATTTTAACTCCAAGGTAGTTAAATCTACTATCTAAAATTTGCTGTGTACATACTCTAAAGGCATGATTTTGGCCTATGGATCTACTGCTGGACTTCCAGACTTTATTGAAGTTCTTCAGATAGTAGTTCTGAGAGAAAAAGTCAATTTTATTGCTAGAGTATTAATTTCCTGGTATGATGAGCACGTTCGAGGATTTGAGCTGGAGAGCACAGAGCAAGTAGTTTTTGTAGAACAGAAGGATCTCACTGATGTCTGCCCGCTTTCAGACTACAAGATTGCAGTAAGGCGAATGGTGATGCTGAAGCGCCATATTTGTCTGGAATAGATACACATTTCATAAACTGTACCATTTGGTGTAGTTCAAGTGATGGGACGTATGTTTTTCAAGATTTTCACGCACATACAACAAAGAACTGTTGCTAAACAATGCCAGACTGAATGTAAAAATAACTAATATGCTGTTTTGTCTTGTTTTCAAGGCAACATTAGATCATCAAAATGGAGGCAGCTGTAAAGTTCCGTGTAATCCTGGACCATGAGATAAAGAAACTTTGTGTTCCTGAAATGCCACGTACAGTAAAAGAGTTGGAAGCAACCATAAAACAGACGTTTGAGATCTACGTGGACATAAGCCTTCAATACAAAGATCAAGATTTTGATGACTTCATTACTTTAAGTTCAACTGATGACCTGAAGGATAGGGACACACTAAAGGTAGTGTATGTCCCACCTGTCATTTTGCTAACAAAAGAGATTCCTGACCTTCAAACAGAAGATTGCTTTGTATCCAGAGCAGTGTCAGAAAATCACTTTGCGTGTCTACCATCCACATCAAGTGGCTCCATCTCTGCAGAATCAGATGACACCATACTACTCAGTCCCTGTAGCTCTGAAATGCACAAACCATGGCCAACAGAGTTTCCTATTCCAAAGTTTTCGTATAACACAGAGTTAGCGCTTCAGTATGGCAATGAGAACTTTCTCAGAGATGGTTCTCTTTTGTACAAAGAGAAGTCTTATCCTGGTATAAAGTCCAACATCCTGGAGTGTTTGGCAGAGCTCATATTTTCATACACTCCATACCCAAATGATGCACATCGATGTGCAGTAGCAGAGGCTCTCATAAAAAGGCATCCATGTTTGAAGGAGCCAGGCTCTTTCAATGGTCTCTATGGATGGCAGCAGAGCCTAAAGTATAAAGTAGGAAATTACCGAAGCAAACTTCGAATGCATGGGATTCCAGAAGTCTTGGTGAACTCTGTAAAGCGCAAATCTTCTGAGAACAAACAACCAGCAAAAAACATCAAAAAAGCTCGGAAAGCTGAGTTAAACTACCTGCCCCCTCATCCACCTGGGCAAACGGATGATTCCCTTGAGAGTAAGAGACTAGAGTTGACTTCTGAGAACAAGAAAAAGAATAACGACAGAGTTATAAATGAGTTGATGTCAAGTACCTTCAGTTTGAGAAGACAGGAGATTGTTGGTCAAGCCCCAGGTGTCACAGATCTTCTAGAGAGATGGCCCGCCCTCTTTAAACCTTCACAGGTAGGGTAAACTTAGCAAAGCCAACTAGCTAAAATCATTGTGTGTGTGTGTGTGTGTGTGTGTGTGTGTGTGTGTGTGTGTGTGTGTGTGTGTGTGTGTGTGTGTGCGTGCGCACATGCGCGCACATGCTTGCGTATGTTATCTACTTGTGTGTCTTAATAAATACACTGTAGTACGTACTTTCAGTATCTTCATGAATTATTAATTGTTCCCTACATTATACTTTACAAACTTCATGATGGTATGGTAAATGGCCTGTAGTTGTGAAGTGCTTTTCTAGGATGGAAAAGTAAATCTAGTTTAGCTAAAAAAAATATCTAGTATACATAGCTGTACAGTAGCTGTAAAATATGCTTCTTTCACTCGAATTCTATCACTGAAAAGTTTTAAAGAAAGTTTTTAATTTGCCTATAAGAAGCTGTTTGAGGTTCATTGTCTTACATAACAATACAACCGCACATTAGCTAAATCTTATCTTAACAGATCCTACACTTTTTAAGTAATAAAATCAACCGGATATACAAAATCTACAGTAGTCAACATTTCAAGTTCAATGAAAATTGACAAAGTTGTGCTAGGACAAGAATAATGTATAGTTTTATGTTTTAGGATAATTTTGATAAAAGCTTTTGATGCCTTTAAAATGTTGATTGCAGGACAAGAACGCTCATAATATTTACATTTGAGTGCTGATCAACTAAAAAAAATTTAACTCTGACAATTTTAAGAAAGATGAGGGGTGTGGAAGGAAGAGAGAGGAGGGCGGGAGAGGAAAGTAGGATATGGAAGGAGTGCAGAGGAGAATAGTACAGAAGGAGAAACAAGTAAACTGTACAAAAAGCTATAGACTTGACTGAAAACTGAATTTTATTCTTAAAAAATAAATGCATATTAAATATGTTCCTTAACTGCTTGACACAGTCTATCTTTTTGATTTGATAGGTAAAAAGCACATTTGCATATACAACTCATGTTGTTTAAATCACAGTAAAAACATCATATTTGGTTTGTAATTAAGATGATCTACGTCTGTTTGCAGATCTGTGAAGAGTTCTTGAGAATCAATGGCATATCACTTGAGTCAACATTTATGTCACAGCTGGACAGACATACCCCAAGGATGTTGTCACTTTTCAATGAAAAGGGAGGAGCAGTTGGTCAAAGAATCAAGGTCGAAATGATGAAACTCATCCAGGTAAGAGGGAAAAAAGGAACTTGTGTTTTCATCCAAATGTATTTTCTATTATGTACTTAATCATCAATATGAGAAAGAAGGTGGTGTATACAGTATGTGTTTGCAGCATATGTTAAAATAAACTGAGTGAGTTATTAAAGTCTAACTCATTGTGAGCACATTCATACTACCCATGAACTAATCAGTGGAAATGTATGTTTGAACATTCAGTGAAGTTACACTTTCTCTGTGTACTTCAGGTCTGTTGGTCTGTCTGTAATGGATATGCTGTCTGAATATATTTGTAAATGAATGAGTGATGCAATTCCCTGGTCTCCCTTTTTCATGATTGTATCTTGCTCCTAAACATTATTTTTTTGCTTATAAATAGTCAATTTAAACATATTTAAGAAAACTTTTAAGGTGAGAAATAGACTGTTCTTACTTGATTCATATTGTTAAATACAGCCTACTTGGAAAGATACATCTCAATTTTGTAATCTGTTCCACTTCACTTTAAATAAACAACATGCACCTATATTTTTCTTTATGATATGCTTGTGATTGTGAGATCTTGTAGTATAGTATTGTATAGTAGGATATTTGACAAGAATTGAATGATTAGTTTAAATACAGAGTGGATGTGGTTACAGATGTGGTTTGTGTTGTCATCCAGCTGTGAATTTTGATCATATTTTACTTTTTGACAGGATCCATCTGCCTCTGTAGACAAAAGGAGAGAAGTGGTTCTGAGATGCCTGGTAGAGTATATGGGAGAGAGACAAGAAGATCTCATCAGTGTCTACCATGTATGTCTTGGCCTTAAATCTACTTTTCAAATTTTTTTTTCTGTTTGTATTGATATTGTGTTGATATGGGGTAATTGCTTTTGCTCTTGAAGGATGGGTCACCTAAAACTAAATATTCTGTCATCATTTACTCACAATAACTTCAAATTTTTATTAGTTTCTTTCTTCTGTCAAACACAAAATAAATCAATTTGAAAAAAAGCTGAAAACCTTTAACCATTGACTTCCATAATAGGAAAAACAAATACTATAGAAGTCAATGGTTACAGGTTTTCAGCTTTCTTGAATATGTTGTTTTGACTTAAACTAAAACAACTCATGGTGGTTTGAAACCACTTGAGGGTGAGTAATTTTACATTTTTGGGTGAACTATCGCTTTAATGTGATGATCAAAGTAGTACAGGAAAGGAATATATATATATATTTTATTGTAATGTAAGCTTTGAACCAGAAAAATGCAACACACTTGCTAGATCATGATAGCATTGAAATTTCCTTGGTCTGCATTATTTTGGTCTCATGCTGTAGTCACAGAGCCCGCGGAGTATCCACCTTTATGAACAAAGTACAATGTATAATTTTTGTCTGATTTTTGTTCTATGTGTCTGCTAAATTCATCTCATTACCTGTCTGACCAAACTGACCAAATAATTTTTTGTCTCCACCAATAGAGCTGTGAGGAAACAGAGGTCCATGCTGAGCTTGGCAGCTGTCCACTGAAGATTTACATGTGCCATCAGCCCGACACGATTGGCATCATCATAGAAGGACAGCCCGTGGTCAGAGGTTTGCCAAACCTGGCAAAAGCATGCTGCCTACTTTTTGGACTGACATATGCCATTGACCTGAAGTATCCATCTAAACTGATGTATACGTTTGAGATTTACCAGAGGCTGTTTGTGGGATTGGACCCCATGCGTCCTAAGTCATCACCCAAGTATGCAAAACTTCTCACCAAATTATCTTAGATAGAATTCTTCGTGGATATGGCATTTTCTGCCATAATTTGAAAAAAAAGTTTACCAAATACCAAGTGAAACGTACTGTAATCAGAAAATCTGTTAATATTTGTTCAGGGTGATAAAAATATTTGTTTTAAGAATTTATTTTTTTATCTCAATACCCAGGTAACTCTGGCAATATAATTTTCTAATTTCCATTGTTATTTTCCTCTGTGTTTATTCTTCAGTGCCTTAAATTCATGTGGACTTTGGATCGTGTTCTTTGTCAGTCATTACCTCACGAGGTATATACTGTACACAGCAGTGTTTTGGCACAATTTGGGAGTTCTTAAAAAATCATAGTAGTTCAAATTATAGAAATACTCTATTCGTTTTTGACATTGTCAACGTTCCAGTGTGATAAAAGGTCATAGGCAATTTGGATATTTGACTTGACTGTTAAGAACAAGTTGAAAATGTATGCATACCAAAGTGTTTTTGTGTGAATTTGAAGCCACATTTATGACCCTTTTTGGCAGTCACTGTTAAAGATTACAATGGTTGACTTTCAATAAATGTTATGGTCTTCAATCCAACTTCTCATTTTTTCTTATTCAATAAAACTTGTAATTCTTATTGAGAGGAGAGTATGTTAATCTGTTGTTAGTTCTGTTCACTGTATAGTGCTTATAATACAGAAAGTATTATTTGTTTGAGGTTATAGCCAGAACTCAATTTAAATAAGTTAATTTATCAAATGATTAGGTTAATTTTACTAAAAACATATATTTTTTAAAACCTAATTAAAATGAGTACAGGTTACATATCGCAAACTATAAATAAGTTACCTGTATCAAAAAAAGTATGTTTATCTAACTGAGTAATTTTAGAATTATAAGTTAGCTCAACTTGATTTTGTTGCATTTGTTTTAAGTAATATTATAGAGTTTATTTTACTTAAAAAGGTCTTGAAGTTGTATCAACTTAAAACATCCGATGCAACCACTTGCCTCACTTTTTATAAGTTAAATCAAGGTAACACTTTTTACAGTGTAGTATTTCTGTTTCTTTTCGCCATTTTTTCATTTCTCCCTTTAATTTCTTTTCGTATTCCTGCTTTACCTCTTTGCTTCTCTAAATCAAAAAAGAATTTTGTGCATTTTTCCCCTTCTACTGTGTATTTAGATCTGCTCCTCAACATTGCCCCCTTATATTTGTCTTCTTCTAAATCTCGTAATTTTTGCTCTATTTCTTTGATTTTTTCAATATCTTTATTTTCTTTGTTTAATTCTTTTTCTAAGGATCTTTTAACTTCTTTTTCTGTATACTTTTTACATCTTTGTAGTTGTTATGTATTTGTCTTTTTTGTGCTCTGTTTTCTCTGTGTTTTTTCTCTCTCTCTCGCTCTGTTCTCCCGTATCTGCTCTCATGTATTCTCAGGTTCCGTTCATTGGTCCATTCAGCTGTCAGTCATTCCTCCCCGGTTACGTCACTCTTACGTCACATCCAATAAGCAAAGACCACCCGTGTTAAAAGCGCGCGCCAGACCACTCGCTCTTTCTTGCTTTCTTGCTTGCATTTTTCTCTTTCGCTGTTTTGTCGCTTGTTTGTATTTACCGCGTGCGTTTTGAAATAACCCCGTCTAACTGTGTTTGTTGTTGCTTGTTTCTGTGTGCACGTTATCCGTCCGTTATTCGTACATCGTTTTTAGTTTATCGTTGTTTACGAGGTGGACGAAGCGGACAGGTAAGAAGGTCACGTGACATACATTTCGCAACACTCAGGATTACTCTGCTGTCTAGTACACTAGGTTAGGGGCGAGCGCCACTCCTTGTACTTTTTGGATAGATAGATAGAGTAGATAGTTAGGACTCGGAAGATCTTCGTGTGTTAATTATACTGTTTTTCACATAGTTAGTTAGCTAGATGCTTCTGGGAAGTTAGATTTAGTTTGGGTTTTGTTCTTTTCATTTCTTTAGCGCCGCCCGCGTCCCTTCTGCCAGCTCTCTTGTTTTTCCCGTCTTTATTTGTTTCAGTGTTGTACATATTGTAAATAGTATATTTTTGCTTTACTTACTTTTTCTTTATTTTTGATTAATTCGTTGTTGTTGTTCACTTTGGGATTGTAAATAAAAGCACACATTTTTTGGCATTACTTTGGTTGTCTTTCCACTCATTCACTGTTTATATAAATATATTTTAATTAAATAAATGTCAAACCCCACACCCTAGACTAACATCAGGGGTTTGTAACAGTAGTACTGCGCAATATTTGATTGTGTATTTTCTTATTTGATATTTTGTGTTTTCCCACCATATCCTTTTATCTTCATCATACATTATATTTTCTTTTTCGTTCTCTATTATTTCTTTGATATTTTTAACATAATCTTCATTTTTTAAAATGGTTGTGTTTAAAATCCAAGTCCCTGGTCCTTTTTGTATGTTTTCTATATTCACTTTAAAATGCAAGAGCTTATGATCACTAAAACGGTTCTCTTCATACTGTATGTTTTCTATAAAATTTTCAATATTTCTAGTACATAAAATAAAATCTATTCTCGTTTGACATATAAAATTCCCCACTATTATTCTCCTTGAAAACTCTCTTTTTTCTCTATTCCTTTCCCTCCATATATCTACTAAACTATTTTCCTTTATTAACTCATTTAGTTCCTTTCTTCCTATATCCGATTTAAAAACCATTCCATCAGCCATATCTTGTTTTCTAAAAACAGTATTAAAATCTCCCATCATTATTATTTTTTATAAAACCTTTTAATACTTTATTTAAAACCTCAAAAAATCCTTTTTAACTTTATCTTCTGTTGGTGCATGTATATTTGCTATTATTAATTCATGTCCTTCATAGTTCACCTCTATTACTAAACATTTTCCATAATTATCCCTATACACAATTCTTTTAAAGTTTAAAACATCTTTCCTTATTAAAAAAGCAACACCTCTTCCAGATTTACCATCACCATTATTATATATAATATCCCCTTGCCACAACTTTTTAAAATCATCCATTGCATGTTCTTTCCAGTTTGTTTCCTGTAAACCTATCACTTCCTTGTGTTTACATTTCTCTCTTATTTTCTCAAATTTATCTTTTCCCATCAGTCCCCTTGCATTAAAAGACACACAGTTTAAAACCATTAAAATAAATAAAAATGAAATTAAAAACCTACACATCCTCATTGTCCTTCATCTCCTTCCAACGCTCTCAACCAACAACTTCTTCCGTTAAAAGAGACAAAGATTAAAAGCATTTTAAAATAGATAAAATATTTTAAAAACATCATTTTTCTTCATCTTCTTCCAGTCCCCTTAACACTTCATACCTATTTACATATTTAGCTCTGTTCTTTGTTAAAACTTTTTTCTTTGCCATGTCCAAGTTTGGTTTTACCTTAAAAGTTCTTCTTCTTAAAAATCCTCTTTCCACTTTGTTCTTATCCACATTTTCCATCCTTGTTTCTTCATCATTTGCCATTCCTTCAGCTTGACCAGTCTTTCTTAGTTCCTCTTTTTCCACCGTGCTTAAAAAAGTTTTAAAACTGTCCGATATTTCCATTTGTGACCACTGTCCATCTTGTCCTGATAACTGTACTTCATTCTCTTTATTTTCGTTTTCTCCTTCCTTTTTTTCATTGTTATTCATTTCCTCCTCCATTGTCCTTTCTATTGCTTCATTATCTTCTTCCCTATTGTTGTTTTCTTCATGCACCAGCCGGTCCTGATCTTCTCCTCCTCCTTCCTCTCCTTCCATCCAGCATTCACACTTGTTTAAAAAATTTTTACATTCCGGGCACCTGACAGTGATACAGTCTCTTGCAAAATGCCCCCTTTCCTCGCATTTGTAGCACTTGAATTCTGGACAGTCTTTCAGCATGTGCTCCGGGCTCATGCACAGCCTACAGGTCTTCACCTGATGGCTGTGCATCACCCTGAAGTACTGCGTCCCTTCTGCTGTTTCCATTTTTGTGCTATATGGCAAGGATGCCACCTCTTTAGGGAACCTCACTTTAAGGAACCTTGTTCCGTCTTCTATGTCGGTACCCGGATAAAACCTTCGTTTAATTTTAGATATGGGACAAACTCCCCAAGTATCTAATTTCTCCAGTATTTCCTTATCTTCAAGATAGACCGGCAGGTGCATGAAGGAAACAACAAAATCCCTATTATGAAGCTTTTTAATTTCACAGTTCACCCCATTTATCATCAGTTTGTCAGTCAATTGTTCACATAATTCCTCTGTTTCCATTGTTAGTTCGTACTCCTTTCCTTGTCTTGGTCTTAAAGCCAGAATTTTTCCATGTCCACACTTTTCAATCACCGCTTTAATAATATCTTCTGCTCTTACTTCCTGTACATCTTCCACATTAATGATAACTGTTGCCTCCTTTAAATACTTTCTTCCACCTACTTGGCTTTTCCGTTGTCCAGCTCGTTGTCCATTTTCCAGTCCGTTGTCTTTAACCATTCTTGTCTCGTCATCCAGTCCTGTTTCATATTCCTTTCGTGTCTCTGCATCCAGTCCAGGGTCGTTTGCCATCAATCCGTCCTTTGTTTGCTCCATAGCAAAAAACACAAGCAAAAAACCACCCTCCAGCCAGCATTTCCAGGGTGGTATGGCCGTAAGCGAAAGAGGCTGTCAAGCGTTGGCTATTTAAAGCAGCTGCCAAATGAAGCACTTCGAAAAGCTCACAGCACCTGGTATTCCCAGGCGGTCTCCCATCCAAGTACTAACCAGGCCCGACCCTGCTTTACTTCCGAGTTCAGATGAGATCGGGCATTTCCAGGGTGGTATGGCCGTAAGCGAAAGAGGCTGTCAAGCGTTGGCTATTTAAAGCAGCTGCCAAATGAAGCACTTCGAAAAGCTTACAGCACCTGGCATTCCCAGGCGGTCTCCCATCCAAGTACTAACCAGGCCCGACCCTGCTTTACTTCCGAGTTCAGATGAGATCGGGCATTTCCAGGGTGGTATGGCCGTAAGCGAAAGAAGCTGTCAAGCGTTGGCTATTTAAAGCAGCTGCCAAATGAAGCACTTCGAAAAGCTTACAGCACCTGATATTCCCAGGCGGTCTCCCATCCAAGTACTAACCAGGCCCGACCCTGCTTTACTTCCGAGTTCAGATGAGATCGGGCATTTCTTTTTTTTTTTTTTTTACTTTATTTTATATCAAAAATTAAAAACAGTTACATTCAGGTAATAATACATTTACATTATATAAAGCCATTTGAACATATGTATTCCCATTTAAAAAGTCTTTTTCAAATACATCAATCCTGTCATTCATGTTACAATAATAGAAAAGAGCATTAAGCAGTTCAGACATTTTTCTTTGAAACAATTTACACACAGACAATTTGCCATTCTTTTGTTTCACAATATTCCTTCTATTCCATATTACATTTCTTGCAACTGTTAAAAAGAAGTTTATGAACCTTGTGTTTTTACCTTCTGTTTTACAACCAAATAAAAATAATGTTTCCCATTCCTCATCAACAACCTCATTTTCAATCCCCATTTCATTTAACATTTCTTTAATTTTTCCAATCAAACATTTTAACTCTTTGCATTT